GATGTGGGGTGCTGTGTTCTCCCCACAACACGTGTATCTTACACAGGCATCGTGTGCTTTTTTCTGAGAACATGCCCTATTTTATTTGTTTACAAAGGTTCAGATGCGCCTTCCCTCCTTCCTTATAAAATAGAACAGCACCATTAAAAAAAAAATCATAATAAAAAAAGGAAGCCAGAAAAAACCAGCTGTGGTCAGAGAGACACTTGCCTAAATTGTGGCAAGCATTTACACAGCCTTGACCTAAATCTGCCAGCAAAGAAGTGAGGATGTGTGGGCAGGGGAGGAAAAATTTCTGAACAGAAGCAAAAATAGAAGCAGCAGGGTCACAGGGCAGAGGAGCTTTCCTGCCACGTCAGATTCTGCTGATGGGTTGAGTGGTGATGGAGGGAGTGGGAGGAAATTCTGGTGACCCAGGGGCCACGTGTGCTTGGTCCTGCCAAGGTTTCCACCAGCCATGCTCGTGTTTCCAGCCGATCAGAGGAGGATGTCAGCACCCAGCTGGGAGCCTGATGGCCACCCAGACCCAACTAGTAGGGTTTGGTAGGGAACCTGCTTGGCTGGTGGTCGCTGCCTCTTGCTTGAGGGTGTTGCAGTGAGGAAGAAGTGAACCCATAAATCCTAGAGACAGATGAGTCTAGGTCAGGGCCAGGCAGTTTGGTTATTTTTTGGTAAAATTAGCACTTTTACCAAACTGGGTCCTTCGTCTTCCACCCTGCCAGGCCAGTGAGGAGCTGGTGTATCTGCTCTGTGCTGCTGCTGCAGCAGGGAGGGGAAGGCAGACTGCGGGGCTGGCCACGCTTGCTGCGGGCAGTGCTTGCAGGAGTCCAGGGGGTCTGGTGGGTTTGGGACCACTGCCACCATGCACCAGTCACCTGGCCCTGAAGTCCGGATGGTCCCAAGCCACATCAATCCTGCAGGCAGCGGGATTTCTGAATTTCTACCAGGAGAGGGGGACACGCTGCTTCTGTTTCCCTTTGGTTTGTTTTTATGATCCAGTTTAATGCTGGAGGTGGGAATCAGCCCTCGGCTTTATTTCCTGGAGGAGGGCAACCAGGAGCGAGACTTTGTGCCGCTGAACCAAGGCAGTGCTGACGTGCTGTGTGTCCCTGCGGACATGGCCTCATCCCCAGGAGTGTCCCCATGTCCCTGCATGGCAATTCTCAGTGGAGCTGGAGCTGGTGTTCTCAACACAGGCTTTGTGCAGATCTTGGGTCCTTGAGGGGTTGCAGCTCCGAAAGGCTCGTGTGTCCAGTGAGCTGGACAGGAGCAGAGTGAGCAGTCCTGACCTGCTGCTCGATGTCCCCAGGGCTGTGCCGCTGCTACAGCCCTTGGCTGTGGGGTTGGGGTCACCCCTGAGCTGAGCTCATCTGTGCTCTGTCTGCAGGTGTCCGTGTTCCCAGCAGCTCCTGCCTGCAGCGTGTCCTCTGCAAAGACTGAACAGCTGAAATTATGTCTCCTCCTTTCCCCTTCCCCCTTTTTTGAGATTAAAAATGGTGGTTGAAAGAGCTAGGCAACTCAAAACTTAGTCTTGAGAACACCCAATTTATTTTTAAATGGTTAAAAAAAATATATATAGCATTATTATTGTGTCTGAGATGATGAAACTTAGCCTGGTCAGATTTGCTTTTAGATCTTAAACACAAACATTAAGCAATCACATTTTCGAGGCAGCTCTAGGAACGATGGTATAAATCAAGCACAGACACTTTTACATTCTCTAAGTGTTTTATTAATGAAATCTAAGCCTTGGGCAGGGACCGCAGTGTAGCTCCCATTCATCAGAGGGTTTGATGAGCTGTTCTGGTTATCACAGAATCACACAATACCAGCTTGGAAGGGACCTCAGGGATCATCTGGTCCAACGTTTCTTGGCAAAAGCATGGTCTGGATGAGATAGCCCAGCGCCCTGTTCTGCTGAATCTTAGGAGTGTCCAATGTTGGGGACAGTGTTGTTGTTATCTGACTACTCTGCAGAATTAAGGATTTTGATCTTTTTGCTTTATTCTTCTCTTGCTGACTGCTGTTTTAATCGGGCTGATGCGCCTGTTCAGGAGGAGAATCCAATCTGTTCTTGCAAGATCAATCTGTTCTTCCTGCAAAATCTATTTTCTATGCAGAATAAGACTTACTGCAGCACTGGTGGGTATCGAACAGCCAACACATCTTCCCTTTTTTGTTTGGTTGAGCTGTTTGCATTTCATATGCTGCAGAAAATAAGGTGGACTTTTTTTCAGAGGGATAAATATTTCCATTTACTCTAGGAATGTGCAGCAAGGTGAGTCAGTCGTTATGAACTTTAGTCATGAATATTGATAGTTTTACAGGTGGGAAGTCAGAGCAAACCTACGTACTCAAATTTTTGGCGGTATTTGTTTTCATAGTGACGTAAGATCATAAACTTGGAAAAACTCTCTCGTAGTTGTAGGGTTGCACCGTAAATACTGGGAATGATGGGAAGGAGAGTCTCCTTGTTCATGTGTGCTGTGGTCAGCCCTCTCCCGGGAATACGGCTTTGTCAATCTGCTGGATTTTGGGAAGAGAAAAAGAGAATGACACTGTTGATATTGTCAGTGGTAATTGCTTTGGACTCGGGTTCATTCTGTGTAGGTCAAGGTTTTAGTCCCCACAGGGCGAGGCCTCTCCAGGAGGTGGATGTGAGGTGCCAGATCACCCTCGGGCAGATCCCATCATCTCATCGCTTTGTGGAAAACTTCCAAGAGCTGCCGTCTCCTCTGGGACATCCCTGTTTCGGTGGGGTGACGCCAGCCCTCACACCCTCGAGTCGTGGCTGAGGATCTCAGCTGCTTGCACTGGGTGGTGCCTGACAAGTGGCACCTTGCAGGCTCTTCCCATACAGCGTTGGCTCCAGAGATTCACATGGGTGATACCCCTTGGTCGCAGTCTATTGCTGTGCATAAACCTGTCACTTGACACTGGAGGGGATGTGGTCGGTCACATCAGGACCAGAGTGTGTGTGTCGTTGCGAGCCAGATGGTGCTGTGGCCGGGATGGAGTGGGACGAGTGTCTGACTTGGTCTGCTGGTGGGTGAATCTCAACTGCACCCCAAAGCAGCACCCCCTGTGCTGCAGCAGCTGAGAGCAGCAAATGCTGAGTCCAGACCTCAGACAGCTTTGTTTTAAATCAATGTGAAATACTTCAGCTAAAGCAGTTTCACTTCTAGATTATTTAGGTTTTTAAAAATATTTTTATTGTGGGATATTTCCAAACCGTTTGAAACAATGGTTTGGAGATATCTCACAGAGGAACTTCTATTTTAGATTTTTTTTTTCCCTGCCATAAATTCTTCCCTCCCTTCATTTTCCTTTCTCTACTGGGGTGTTTTGGGTCAGGTTTGGTGGAAGGAGCCTGTCAGCCTGGCTCACACACTCGAGGTCAAGCATTCCCAGCCCCCTGCAGTAAGGCCAGGCTTGGGTAAGGACAAGCACTAATCAGTACTGGGCTTTGAAGTGCCAGGCAGGGCCATAATCATAGAATCACAGACTGGTTTGGGTTGGAAGGGACCTTAAAGCTCATCCAGTCCCAACGCCCCTGCCAGCAGCAGGGACATCTTCCACTAGACCAGGTTGCTCAAAGCCTCATCCAGCCTGGCCTTGAACACTTCCAGGGAGGAGCAGCCACAGCTTCTCTGGCCAACCTGGGACACTGTCTCACCACCCTCACACCAAAGAATTTCTTCCTCACATCTCAGCTCCATCTCCCCTCTGCCACTTCCAAGCCATCACCCCTTGTTCTGTCACTCCCTGCCCTTGGCCAAAGGCCCTCCCCAGCCTTCCTGGAGCCCCTTCAGGTACTGGGAGGCCACTAGAAGGTCTCCCCGGAGCCTTCTCTTCTCCAGGCTGAACAGCCCCAACTCTCTCAGCCTGTCCTCACAGCAGAGCTGCTCCAGCCCTGGCATCATCCTCGTGGCCTCCTCTGCACTGGCTCCAGTGGGTCCATGTCCTTGTGCTGTTGGTGGCCCCAGCACTGGAGGCAGCACTGCAGGTGGGGTCTCAGAAGAGCGGAGCAGAGGGGCAGAATCCCCTCCCTCCACCTGCTGCCCACGCTGCTCTGGGTACAGCCCAGGGTACTGTTGGCAGTATGTATGTCTGTCTGTCTGTCTGTCTCCCTGTCTTGGCTCCTCTGCTCAGCAGGATGTGCTCACTGGGCTTGCTGGCCCAGCACAGCTGCACACGATGGTGTCACGCTGCTGTCTGGTGATACTCATTCAGCCCTGGGCAACTGTGACGTGGTTACATTCAAAGCCCTTCCCATCGCCAGGTCTCCAGGCCCGTGTCCATTTACTGTGGCTTTTAAATTCAGTTGGGAATCACTGGAAAGTGATCCAGTGTTGTTCTTGACCGTGGGAATGACAGCAAGTACCCTCCTGCCAGTGTTCGTGGCCAAGGGCTTTTCTCTGCTCACATGCTGCTGTTTGTCTTGCTTTAGGAGAGGCTTATCCTTCCTGCAGAGAGGCCAAGAGTGCTCAATGGTGGATTGGCCAGGTGAGAGGTGTTTGTTTGTGGAGAGGTGAATCAGCTCCCAGTGCTGGCTGAGCTCAGCAGGACATGATGGTTGTTATTCCTTTTCCTGGGATAAAGCAGGGGAAGGGAATGGGCAGGATCTGTACAGGATTGTCCTCACTCATGATAGCACTCACTGCTTCAGCTACAGCTGTGACTGTCCCAGGACAGGGGAGACTGCCACAACAGAGTGACCCAAACCAAAGAGTTTGGCTTTGGTTTGTAGCCACAATCACTTTCCTTTTCTCTCCCCATCAGTAGTTTTGTCATCACTACTGACCCCTCCGCTGGCCTGTCATTCCTCCCCGCTCTGTCCCACGGCTGTTGCTCCAAGGCACGGTGGGGCTGGCCCTGGTGGGGCTGGGAGCTCGAGGGCTGGCTGGGAGTTGAGCACCCCTGCTAGCCTGGTGCTGAGCTGGCTGTCGGTGTGCTGAGTCTCTGTCTGTGTGGGGAGGAGAGAGAAGGGAAGGGAGAAAGAAGGTTTCACCCAGGTTTGTGTTCCCCAGGGCTGTACAGCTGCAGCGGGCCAGGCTGGTGTGTGAGGTGCGGGACTCGCCCGCATGCTTCCCTCCTGCACCAGTTCGCTGCCTCCTTCCCCTGGGGAAGGCACCTCTGGCCAGAGGGAGCCCCAGGGCCAGGTCACAGTGCAGGGACAGCCACCACTGGAGCCAGGGCACTGGGAGGGCCCTTCCCTTCTCCCTCAGCGGTGCCATGTGCTGGCAAACAGCTGCTGAGCACGCGGCGGCAAACCATGCACCGAGGGCCAGAGCAAGGAGTAGTGGTGTAATATCTTAGACCCCCTGCTCAGAGCTTTAAATATTTTGTGATGGGAAGTTCAGTAAAGACACAAAGGAGCCGTTAACTTCTTGTGGTTTGTTGCATAAAATTATGCTGATTTTATTTGCACCCTCATACAGCTCCCCCAGTGCTGTCACCTGTGCCTTTTAAATGTTAAGTTTAAACCCATTTAAGCTTCCCCTTCTATCCAAGGACCTCCTGAAACTTTGAAATCCCGAGTTCCCCCTTCAGCACAGGTTTCCCTCTAGAGAGCTCTCCTAATCCCACTTGTAACCAGAGAGTGGACTGCAGATCTCTGGAGGTGGCTTCCAACCAACACTCGTGTCGTCCTGTGAACTCAAAGGCTCTCTCTGCAGCAAGGCGACGGCAGAGCTGCGTACCTGGCTTCCTCCAGTGTCCCTGAGTGGGCACTGCCAGCCTTTTCAGAAAGGGTATATTTGAGCAGAAACATGGTGTTACTGCTGTGATGGGGCTGAAACTTGTAAGCACTGGGAGGTCAATAGTGTTACCGCAACATCATGGGTGGCTTATGTCTGGTTTTATTGCTGGAAGCTACATTTTTTTAACAGAATTAAAACCAAGCCAGATTGTTACAGCAGCAATTGGTGTTTTCACTCTATTGCTCATGTAAACAGCCAGTTATTTAAAGATGAGCATAAAAACTATCCTGTTTTTCTTCTAATTCAATATCTTTGGTCCCTGTGTCTTTCAGTTGAAGTCAGGAATTTTTTAGTCCGGGTTGTGGTTAAAAGTTGGATGTTTGTCTTCTTGGAGGCTGGGGTGGAGCACGGGCTGTCCTGGACCGCAGGGAGCAATGGCAGGCTCGGCGATGTGAGGTAGACTTTCTTGTGTTGGGTTGCAGAAGGGTCAGATATCCACTGTACAGACCTGGGCAGTCCCAGAGCTCACTGTATTCCTGGAGGAATGCAAAGCGTTCCCTAAGGAAAAATCTTTCTTTTGATTTTCAATCGTTACTGTGATGCTGACTTGAGAGAAGGCAGAGAACAAAGGCTGTAAATGAGCTGAGTGTTCATTATGTGGTCTGGTTCTTCTGGTTTTGAACTTTCCTGGTTTGTCAGGAGAAATGATATTGTGGGTAACTAGATTGTGGGAGTTTTGGCTTCCGCGGGCTTGGCTGTGTCATTAGTCCTGACTGCAGCCGAACAGAGGCCGGAGCACAAGTACAGGTATTTGATCCAGGCAGATTCTAGAAATGCCCGTCCTTTACTGAAGATGACAACACTTCACTTCTTGGGGATGTAGAAACACTGGTATAAGGAGCCTCTGGAGGTCTGTAGTCGAACCCCTATTTGAACAGAACTGTGCCCCGCCCCAGGTCAGGTCAGCTCTGGCTTTATCAAAATAAGCCTGGAAAACTTCAAGGGCAGGACATCCCCCACCTCTCTGGGTACCTTTTCCAGTGCTGCACCACCTTCCTAGTGAAGAGTTTTTATCCTGATGTCCAGTTTGAACCTCCCAAGCTGCAACTCATGGCTGTTTCCTCTTTTTACACCATATGTTGCTTTAGGTGAGGAAACTGCTGTGTCAAAGAGGTGAAATTAATTTTTTAGTATTGTGTGCAGCCTCGTATTTCTCTCTGAACTGGCAGCAGCGGGCATTGAACTGGGAGCTTCTGGCTGCTGTCTGAGCTCTGCACAAAGGCTCAGGCGAAGAGCAGGGGGTGTAGATTGCTTTTGTGATTCTTATATTCCCTTGGGCTTCTTTCTCCTGTTCAGGCTTACATCAGATCTCACAGAACAAGGTGGCAGTGCTGCTCCTGGCTGGAGGACAAGGAACTCGCCTGGGAGTGAGCTATCCCAAGGGCATGTACGACGTGGGCTTGCCCAGTGGCAAGACCTTGTATCAGATCCAAGCAGAAAGAATCCGCAAAGTGGAGCAGCTCGCTGGCCAGAGACACCACTGCAAGTGCACCATCCCCTGGTAGGTGACCTGGTCTTTGCATTGCAGTCACGCCTACATTGTCTTCTACAAACACTTTGATGGTTGTCGTACAGAGACATGTTGGGGAGAGCTGTTTGTCAGCAGGATTTGTGATACCAGCAGCTGGTGGAGAGATGGGAAGTGGCAGGTCTATGTCTGGAGACCTGAGGAACCAAGCACTGCCCTGGCTGCTGTACCGTGCTGTCTTGTCAACCACAGTCCCTGACAGGACTATAAACGACACTTTTCAGTGCCTGTTGCAGATGCTTTGCAAGAAATTTCATCCATTTGTGCCATGCTGTCTCAGGTTCCTGTATGGAGGGAGAGATCACCTAGAGCTGACCTTCCACAACCTTCTGCCTCCCCTTGCCCACAATTTCTGCCACAGCAAAAAAACCCTCTTCCCCTTGCAGCAGTAAATGCTTGTCATACTCCATTTTCAGGCCACCTCCCACTGTTGTTGTTTACAGCTGGCTGCCGTCTCTCCTGGCTGCTCCTAGCTTTCAAAAGCCTCCAAGCTTCAGAAGAGATTAGCTCTGTGCAAGGTGCAAAATATTAATTCCCTACGGGTTGTGGTGGGTGAGAGAGAGGAAGGTGTGTTCTGTCAAGTGTTCTTTGTTAGACTATAGAGATACCTTCATGAAAGCACTGTCTGGTCTGAGCCAGGGTTTGGGAAGAGTGAAGGAGCACGTCTGAAGTCCTCAGGGTAGCATACTGTTCTACAGATTGGAGATTGAAGAGTCCATATTATATGCATGGCTTCAGAAAGAAACACATGAACCTGAACTGCAAATGCACCATCCCATGTGCTGCTCGGAGCCAGGATGGGTTATTTGCAGGGTGCAACATTTGCTGATGACAGTTGTGGTTCCTCTCCACTGGCTGTGGAGGCAGTTGGCTGCGACAGTGCACCAGAGGCCAGGCTGTGCTGTGCTGCAAAGATGGAAATCAGGGGGTGTGTGAGTTCCAGGCTTTCCTGAGGAAAGGATTGGTACCCTGGCATGCTGCCAGAGGACCCTGTATGCCTGTGCCAGTAGTTGTTGATGTGCTTGACAGGTAGATGATGAAGCCACTATTGAGGAAGGAAAATAGTGGAGGAAGAGACAGCAGCAATATGGAGCTGGAAGGAGAGGAGGAAATAGAGAAATTTAAGAGAAAAACAAATCAGGCAGCCAACATTGCTGCTGTTCACCTCGACACAGAAGAGGCATTGGCAGACTGAGCTGCTCCTTCTCAGCAACTCGTGCTGGTCAGTGGATTGCTCAGGATTCTGGTGAGACCTTCTAGCGGCCTCTCAGTACCTGAAGGGGCTCCAGGAAGGATGGGGAGGGACTTTGGCCAAGGGCAGGGAGTGACAGAACAAAGGGTGATGGCTTGAAATGGGAAGACGGGGAGATGGAGCTGAGATGTGAGGAAGAAATTCTTTGGTGTGAGGGTGGTGAGCCTGTCCCAGGTTGGGCAGAGAAGCTGTGGCTGCTCCTCCCTGGAAGTGTTCTCGGACAGGTTGGATGAGGCTTTGAGCAACCTGGTCTAGTGGAAGGTGTCCCTGCTGCTGGCAGGGGGTTGGAACTGGATTGAGCTTGAAGGTCCCTTCCAACCCAAATTATTCTGTGATTCTATGATAATGCTTCTTTAGACACTTAACATCAGTTTCACTCTACGGTGAACGAGGCTGTTTACTGTCCTTTGCCTTGTTTTCCAGCTCATCTAGATATCCAGATGCCATTCACATTTGGGGAAGGGCTTTTCTGTCCTGGCTGGAGCTAAGCCTGTGGGTTGGATCATGCACAAGACCCTGTGCAGCCTTCCTGTGGGATGAGTTCTGGAGGAGAGCTCTCCTGCTCAGTTCCACACCACAGGGTGCTGTAGTGTCTCTCATTTAACCCTCTTGGGTTTCCTCCCATTTATTTTCTATTGGTAGTTTTGTTTTTTGCTTGTGCTTTTCTTGCTCATTGCTCAGCACCCATTGCCACCCAGGTACATCATGACGAGCGAGTTCACGCTGGGGCCAACAGAGGAGTTCTTTGTAGAACACAACTACTTCAACCTGGATAGATCCAATGTCGTCATGTTTGAACAGAGGATGCTGCCTGCTGTCACCTTTGATGGAAAAGCCATGTTGGAGGAGAAGGGGAAAATTGCTATGGCTCCAGGTACCCCGCTGCTCACTCGTACGTGGTACAGTAACGTAACGTGTGTTGATAATTGCTGCTTGCCATCAGCCAGCCTTGGCACGTGGAGCAGTGTTTGGAGGTCAGTGTTACTGCTGCTGATTAGCCTGAGAGGGTTCAGTTGGGTTTTTCAGGTGAGTAGCAAGAGCGTAGCAATCTGCTTAGTTCTTGCTGGGGATTTGCCCGCAGCACATGGTTTTTATCAAGGCCTGGGAGTGTGTAGTCGTGTAACTTGGCTGGCAGCCAAACACCACACAGCTGCTCGCACCCTCCCTTCCCTCCCAGGGAACAGAGGAGAGAATTGGAGGGTAAAGGTAAGGAGACTCGTAGATGGAGTTAAGAACAGTTTAATAACTGGAGTAAAAGAAACTTAAAATAGTAAAGATAATGATACTAATATATATAAATGAGCAATGCACAGTACAATTGCTCACCACCTGCCGACAGCGATCCCAGAGGAGCGGAAAGGAAGCCCAAACCCGAAACCACAATCCTAGGAGAGCGGGCCCAAGCAATTCCTGAAAGAACCCTCATTAATATACTGAACGTGATGTGACGTGATATGAGATGGAATATCTCATTGGCAGAGCCAAATGCTAATTTTGGGTTTTGCTAATTACTGCTTTTCCCCACTCCCAGTCCTTTGCACTTGCAGACTGGCAAAACACGATGTCCTTGGACTTCCAGCAGCACCTAATAACATCTGTACGTTATCAACATTCTTCTCATAACAAATCCCACAGTGAAACCAAACCACAGCTATTGTAGCTACTGAGAAGAAAATTAACTCTGTCCTAGTGAAACCAGAGTACTGGCAGGATTAGGAGTGATGCAGCAGCAGGGTAGGAATGAGGTGCATCGGCAAGGCTGTGCGTGAGGTCCCTGGGCTGTTGCCTCCCAGGGGTGAAGCTGTTTGGAGCCAGGCTCCGATTCAAGGCTGGTAGATGGAAATAGATAAAAAAGCAGCAAGAAGATGAACTCTTTCCAAAATTATTGCAATGGCTCACCTACTAACGTTCTCTTCTCTTGATCTGGACGTGGTGAGAGACTTGGTGAAGGCAGCCTGACTGGGGCCGTGTTGCACTGATGCGGTTTTGTGGCTGCGGAGTGATTTTCCAGAGCTGACAGGGGTATCAAAGGAGGAACCGTGAAAGGGTGATCTGCGATGAACAAACGTGCAGGTGTCCTTTGTGCAGCTGCAGTTGAAGCCTTTAAAAAGGCATTGAGAAGTTGCAGGAGGAAGGTAAACAGAGAGTAAGATTTATTTTAGTCTTTTTCTCCAAGCTGAGTTTTAAATATGCTTTTGCTCTGTACTGGAAGAGGAGAAATTTAACAGTCTTCTCCCACCCTCTGCATAATGTTTTGCCCTTTAGTGGTTTCCCTTGGAGGCTCTTAAAAGGCTTTGTAAAGTCTCGTAACGCTTCTCTGTGAGGCTGGTCCCTACGGTCCCACTCTGCAGGTGAGGGAGCTGCGGTGTGGAGGGGAACAGACTTGCCTGAACTGTGTGGCACAGCTGGAAATAACATCTGGAGCACTGACTTGGCTAGAAAGCATTCTCTGCTCTGCTGTTGGAGAAAGCTTGTTGAGGACTTTCAGCCTTTGCTCTGTTAGCTGCAAAAAACCCCACAGTCGCTAATTAACCAGAGCTTTCTCTTTTCTCTTGCATTATAGATGGCAATGGTGGCTTATACCGTGCTTTGATGGATAATAAGATCTTGGATGACATGAGGCAGCGTGGAATCCAGTATGTCCATGTGTACTGTGTGGACAATATCCTCGTGAAAATGGCAGATCCAGTCTTCATAGGCTTCTGTGTTTCCAAAGGCGCAGATTGCGGTGCCAAGGTGAGGTGGTGCCAGCGCTCCCTGTTTTCCCATGGGGAGTTAAGGTCTGATTGTGCTCAGAAGCTGCTGGCTGGGGTGAGCTTAGATGAACTGGGGTGTTCAGACTTCTGTCCAACAGCATCTTGCTCCAAGCAGAGGAGCTGCTTGCTGCCTGCATTGCAAGCAGAACCCCTACCTGTGGGTGTCC